GTCTCCATTCTAGAAATAAGACAAATGAGAAAACTCTAAGAATTCTGATGGGATTTTCTAGGGCACTAATGTGGCCTTTGGAAGGACGTAGGTTTAGAAATGTGACAGTCTGGGTTGGAAGACACTTATTATTTGGGTGACTTGTCTTTTAACCTGCAACAGGCTAATTTTAACTTGCAGTGACATTAAATTTTTTTTTTGTTTTGTTTTTGTTTTTATTTTTTGTTTTTTTTGTTTTTCGAGACAAGGTTTCTCTGTGTAGCTTTGCACCTTTCCTGGAACTCACTTAGTAGCCCAGGCTGGCCTCGAACTCACAGAGATCCGCCGGCCTCTGCCTCTCGAGTGCTGGGATTAAAGGCGTGCACCACCACCGCCCAGCTGTGACATTAAATTTTAAGTTGCCGTCTCCTGTTCAAAGGGGGACAGTGACACCCAGCTAAAAAGAGAAGGCAAGGCTGGAGATCCTTGAGCCACGCAAGTGTTCCATCGATCCCAGCTGCTATTGTTACGATACCACAAAGGGACAGACCTAAACGGGGCTTCGGATGATGGGCAGTTCCTGGACTCTGGTTGTTTTCTTGGGGCCAGAGGCTATATCTGCAGGCCTGTGTCTGGCTCAAAGAAGTCGTTCCTGGATACTAAGACAGGGCTCACACTACATATGAGTCTCTTTAGAAACATACAGCCACAATCCAGGGTTCGCATTGCAGGAAATACTGTGCAGTGAGCAAGCCTGGGCAAGCCTACCTGGAAGAGCTATCCCAAGTTCCTCTGCTTCCTCCTTCACCTTGCTGGTCCAAGCCACCAGCGACCAGAATCTCCTTCAGTGTAAAGCTCTTTGGATTTTGCACTTCCTGTCTTTATGAAATCCATACATCATGGTAACTTATATTAAAACAACAAACAACAACAAAAACCAAAGCTGGTTGGTGATGTCCCACGCCTTTAATCCCAGCACTCGGTGAGTTCGAGGCCAACCTGGTCTGCAGAGCTAGTTCCAGGACAAGGGTTATACAGAGAAACCCTGTCTTGAAAAAATGAAACAAAGCAAAAGACCAAGCAGTCCCCTAGCTCTGATCAAACCTTTCAATGACTCAGGAAAATGTTGAGACGCCTCTTGTCCACCCAGGTCCCTTGCTTGTAACACCAGTTCCACTTAGGGCTTTGTACAGTTTTTGCTCTGTGGTCAATATTCACCTCTCATCATGTCCCCTGTCCACTTGGCTCATACGTCAGGTGTTGGTGTACAAACTCAAGGCGGGCATAAGAAATGTCACATTTTCTTTAAAGCAAATGAAATCCATTTGAGTCTACTTTGCCGTACCCCAGCAATACCCCTTTCTCTATTTTTTCACCCATTCTCTAGCCACTGTGTCTCTGTGTGTTGGCTGTCGAGGGTGCCCAGGTCATGTCCTCTGGAGTGCTGTGTTGATACTGTCTCCAAGGGATGCCTGGAAGCCAATAACTAACAAGTCATCGCAGTACCTCTGTCCCCAAAGTGAGAGCTGGATGCTGTATGATCCAGGGTCCTTGTGGGATCAGGCTGAGGCTCTGCCCTGAAAACATTTCTTGCTCAGCTCTCCCTGGTCTGCCCCACTTCTTCCAGGCTTCTGGAAGCTTCTTGACTCATCATACTTGCACAGGAAACCTCACCATGGGCTCTGCTTCTAGGGGCCCAAACTCGCTCCCATCCTTTATCTTTTCTAGATATATCCAATCTGAATCTATAGTCTGTATAGTTATTAGTTTAATATTTATGTATCCCTAAGTAAACAAAGATCCCACAGAAACAGGGGCCTTTTTTTCATTCATCACTATATAGCTCTGGGTGACCTGGAACTTGCTATATAGAACAGATTAGCCTCAAACTCACACAGATCCACTGGCTTCTGTCTCCTGAGTGCTGGGATTAAAGGTGCTTGGCTTCATGCTTTTTTTTTTCCATTGCAATATTACTAGCACTAAGTATAGAGAATACTATATGTGCTCCTGAAAAACCCAGACCTAGTATCTGAAGGTCCGGAGCGAAGATCACTTCTCTCTTTAGTGAGACTGGAAAGAGTCAGAGATCCACTACTGTGGAGTGCAGTGTATACTGGGGAACTGAATGCCGGAAGCATGCTTCCTGGTGGCAGCAAGCCCAGGTGGCTCCTGAAAGTTGGGTGAGAAGGTGGGGGCAGATTTAGGCTTACGATAAAAGTGACTTCATATAAAGTCACTTAGGATAAAAGCCAGGGCAGGAACGTACATGGTTTTTCTCAAGGTAATATGCAAGGGTCAGGTCCAGCCTGGGAGCCAGGGTCTAGGTATAAAGCTCCAGATAACGAATGGTTTTATCTACTTAGAGTTTGCTAGAAAGCCTTGCAGGGAAAACCAGCTAGGGTTACTGAGTGCAGTCACAGTGGCTATGGTTCAAGATGACTACAATAGTGTCAATCTGAATTCGTGCATACAATGGAGAAGGTGCCTGACGCCAAGGGTCACAGCGCCTCTTAACCTCCATCAATAGACACTTTCCCCTCTGGCTGTTTGGGAGAGAAAGCCACCCTACAGCTTCAGCTTGTCTTCTCTTGTTTGTTCCCCTCAAATTCCTTAGTTAGTCAGAGTTAGCAGTCTCTGGCTGGCCCTGTTTAGGTCACTTAATCGGACATAAGGAACCACAATTCTGTTTTTATCAGGTCAATCTAGCCAATCAGGTCATTCCTGGGCATGGAGGCCCGCCTCAGATGAGCCAGAAGCCAATCAGACCAATCAAAAGGTGTCTTATAGAGATTATATCCCATTACAGTCAAAATCAAGGTAATACTCTCATTTTAATGGCACTCCAATATTGCCAGGAAAGGCTAGATGCCAGGTCCAAAAGAAACTCGGGACAAAAAGTTATCTATGGCTTTATTAGCATATCAAAGCACACGCTGTCTTCCAGGCTCCCACCCTACCCCCTACCCTAAACTTCAGCTCACCCCACTTCTCATTCCCTTATAACGAGTATTTGGGCTATGCTTCTCTTTTGTCTCCTCTCTCTGGGTTGTCTCCTTCTCTTCCTCTCTCTCCTCTCAATCAAGTCCAGTCTGCCGGCCATGTTCAGTGTAATATTTTCTCTCTCTGCTCCGGACTCTTCCAGATACCTCTGGCTGTTCTCTCTCATATCTGCAGTAAAATCCTTCCCTGTTCAGCCATACCTTGACACGGTTGTGTCCTCAGGTTATATGTCTGATGCTGAAACCCTCAGTTTATACACTGGATTTATTTATTTATTTTTTATTTTATTTTATTTTATTTTATTTTATTTTGAGACAGGGTTTCTCTGTGTAGCCTGTCCTGTCCTGGAACTCACTCTGTAAACCAGGCAGCACCACAGAGTCTGGTCTCAATCTTAGAGATCCACCTCCTGAGTGCTGGGATTAAAGGCATGTGCCACCACTGCCAGGCTCAGGACTGTATTTTTTTTAAATTAACTTTTATTATTGATTCTTTGCTGTTTTCATATCATGCATCCTGACTGATCCCACCCATCTTCCCCCCCCCATCTGCCCTCTGCTCTTGCAACTTCCCCACCAAAACAAAACAAAATTTAAAAGAAAAACCAAAAACCGAACCAGACCAACAAAGCAAAACAAGAAAGAAGAAAGGGAAAAAGAAAAAAAAAAAAGAGTTTCATTGTGGAAGCTGTGGTGTGTCTTCACTCTTTAGTCCTTTTGTCTTCGTTTGCAAGTCAGTACTGGATTCTTTAAGTTTTTGAAATTACCTTAGTTGAAAATTTTATCCCCAGACAATTAGGTAACTGTTTGTCTAGTTATTGAAGGGATGGATGGTGCCATGGGCTCTTAACTTCTGATGATTCCCAGGCAGTGCCACTGAGGCAGAAGGTGAGACTACATGCCTGTGGGTCATAAGAAAGCTGCTACAACCAAATTTCTGGTTGAAATCATACATGCAGTTTCATTTGTTTTGTGATACACTCTTTCCTCTGAAAGCTCTAAAGACAAAGGCCAGTGAGGGGTGAGAAGAAATAAGTCTGGTGGGTATTTTGGCAAACCATGGATTCTTTTTTTAAATAAGATTTATTTTTATGTGTATGTGTGTCTTTGCCTACATGTGTGCATATGCACCTCACATATGCAGTCTCCTCAGAGGCCAGAAGAGGGAAGGGAACCCCTGGAACTGGGGTCACAGACAGGTGTGAGCTAATATGTGGGCACCAGGAACCGAACCCAGGTCCTCTGCAAGAGCACCAAGTGCTCTTAACCACTTGAGCTGTCTCTCCAGCCTCAGCAAGTTCTTCTATAAATCTAGCCCTGGCCACTGCCTCCAAGGTGCTGCATATTTGAAGGGGCACTGAGATATGAGCTGCCATTACTGTTATGAATAAAGGGGTACTCCATTCATGGAGACCCTTGCCAGGGGCACAAGGGCAACAACCGCAGACAGGGGGCAGAGGTAACTAACAGCTAACTGGGATTACAAGCACACACCACTATGCTACCAAGCCCAGTTTTTACTGGAGTCCTAGGGATCAAACTTAGGTCCTGACTAAGCCACCCCCTAACTCCTCAGAGATAACTTTTTAAATCTGTACATTTATGCAAAGTCTGAAAACAGCCTGGGAATCTCAGGAATGCCTGTCATCAGTGAGGGGTGTGTGTGGGGGTGTCTGCTTGAGGCACATGCACCTACAGGCAACTTCCACTCCAACGCTTCTCAGGCACGGAAATACAGGTCTGTGATTCTCTTCCCATCTGGCTTCCTCTTTGTCTTTCCACTCATGTTTTCAACTACCTGAGCCAGAGGACACATGGGAGTAGCTGGGAAGTGGTAAACGTTGACAGAAGCAGAACTGGAGCGAAAGGCAAATGTTTATCGACTGTGTTCAAACACTAGTGAGTGAATGACTCACCATAGGCTTGAGAGCCACATAGTCTGCATTCCTGAGAAGTCTCAGTTTCTCATTCACAACATTTTCACACTGCGCTCTGCTGCTGAAAAATCAAGTGGGCGTATGTTTTTGAGTGTTGATTTATTACTCAAAGATCTGAATTCGGAGACAGAGAGGAAACATGCTTTATCTACATATTTTTGAAAACCCATGGGAAAGCAAGCCAGTGTCAGTTTCCAGCTGGTGGGACGTTCTCGTGGAGGCACTGCAAGGCCAGGTCTGTCCACTTCATCTCCTGCTCTTTCACAGACTCTGTGGTGCCACCGTTGTCCTGCTCAGGCTCGGGAAGCTCACTCTGAAAGGGAAGGACACCCACAGCAGCCATGAGAAATTTCTCTTTCTGTACATTTTTGAGATGAGTCTCAGGTAGCCTAGGCTGACCTCAAACTCACTATGTCATCTTGAATCCTGCTTTTGCACTGGTCAGGGCTGAGCCCAGGGCCTTGTGCAGGCTACGCAAGCGTCCTACCACTGCGTCACATTCTCAGCCAATCACCTTGACCTCTAGCCTATCTTCCTTTGCCCCTGAGGAGCTGGAATTACAGGTGTGGACCTAGTGTTGAATAGTTACTTCTGAAAACACAAGAACATTAGGAATTAAAGCCTGTGAGGTCCTAAGAACAGCCAGCATAGCTGATATGCATATTCTAAAGAAAGTCAAAATAAACAGATGTATGGAAAATACCAGAGGTTCTGTTCAGCGTGGCTTACTTCCCCTTTGGACACTGTGACTCTGGTTTTCTTACAAAAGGCAGAAGGGCTAAGGGCAGAGACTGGAGCCCCAGACTACTCTTCATTTGCTGGCTTATTTGGGTGAGATAATTCAAACTCATGAGATCTTTGTTTCCCTTCTCGAAAATGGGAGGAAAAAAATAGCTTTTTTCACACCTCAGACTTTGGTAAAGAGAGAACGAGGACCTTAGATCAGTGCTTGGCACCGTGGAGGGTGTCCAGTGCTCCATGGCACTCACTAGTATGAGTGGCTGAGAACACTGACAAGAGCCAATTCGGAACCTTTTTGAAAGTGCTTTAAAGGCATATCAGATTTGCTGGAATGTGTTTCTAAATATAGGACATGTATCAACAACAACAACAAAAAATGCTACACTCAAAATGCTTATGTGACAATTAATATGGGCTGGATGAGGGACACAGACAATGTAACAGTCGAGACCTCCCCCTAGTGGGAAAACACAGTAAAGACTAACTCACATCCCAATAGTTGTTTTCTAAGTGATAAACCATGGGACTGCACTAGACAAAATCTGGTATCATTCTCTGATATATGTGAACTTACTACTGCTGAATCTGGGCTGGGCTCCAGAGTTCACCATGTATTTCTGTGCAGTTACCAGAAGTTACACTTTGTTGCTTAATATTCAGTTAGGATTTCCCACTGAAAGGGTTTCTCTGTGTAACAGTCCTGGCTGACCAGGAACTCGCTTTGTTGACTAGGCTGGCCTCAAACTCACTGAGTTTCACCTGCCTCTGCCTCCCAAGTGCTGGGATTAAAGGCGTGCACCACCATCGCCTGGCTCCCATTGAATTCTTATTTACACTATATGGAGGTGTTTTTCTCTTTAAAATTATGTTCAACATGTAGTTAAGTGATATTTATCTACAATATGTACAAATGTATTTGAACTGGGACCAGTGAAATGGCTCAGTGGGTAAAGGCACTTGCTGCCAAGGCTGATGACCTGAGTTCTACATGTGTGTCACAGCACACAGGTACACACACACACACACACACAAGAAAAACCCAGATGTGTTTGCATCATTTGCATCTGTTTTACAAACATAAATTGACATTTAATATTCCTATACAGAGCCAAAGAATGGTCATTCTCTAGTCAATTTAGAAATCTGACCTTAATAATTATCTAGAGGCCACAAAGAATAAACAGGCCCTTGGTTAAGAACTACTTAATTCAGCTGGGCAGTAGTGATGCATGTCTTTAATCCCAGAACTTGGGAGGCAGAGGCAGGCGGATCTCTGTGAGTTCGAGGCCAGCCTGGTCTACAAAGCAGGTTCTAAGACAACTAGGACTGTTACCCGGAGAAACCCTGTCTTGAAAAATCAAAAAGAACTACTTAATTCAAGAGGTAGGACACTGCTTTAATTTCATTTCCTCTAAGAGCATGGTAGGCTTCCTAAAATGATGGATCCTTCACTTGGTGACTTCTTAAATGAACACCACCACGTAAAACAGCACAAAACATGCTCACTTGACACAAAGTACCATAAGCACACCTTATGCAGCTATTCCTGCCTAGCGGCAGAGTCTATTCCCTGACTGCACATCTGGATTGGCCAGTGACTTGCTCTCATCAGTGGACTGCAGCAGTGGGGCAGTTCTGGGCCTGCACTCTAAGACTCTGCACTTCCCTCTGTTGAACCCGAGGCACAGGTCCCAGGAGAGCATGCTAGATCACGAGTGCCAGCTCCCAGTCCCTCTACCTCCTGGAAACATCCTGTTAACCACCAAACATGTGAACCTCCCTGCACCACTCAGCTCCTGCTAGTCTGCACAGCACAGCACAGCACAGCAGCGAGCCCAGCATTAGTTGCCTGAACTGGCGTGGACCAGAACTCCCAGCTGAGTTATAAAATCATGACCCAACAGTTGTACTGTAAGCCACTAAGTTTCAGGACCACCTGTCATGCAGCAAAAGCTAACTGATATGCACATTCCCTTAGAATCACAAAATTCCCTGGATGGGCAACAGGCTCAGGCTGCCACCAGGAAGTCAGCAGAGGAATTTCCTTCTTCTTCATTCCCTACCATAGAGATGGTCCCTTAATTTTTGTGTACGGAGTTCAAGTCGCCACACTTCTTGGTGGTGTTCTGGCTTTCCCCCTTGCCTAGACTGCTGCACTGCAGCAGCCTCCTACTTAGGGCCCCTTGCCCCTTTCTTCTATCAGGCTGTCTCCATCGGTGCTGTGAACCCCACTTTCTTTTTTTAAAAATTTATTTATTTATTTATTTATTTTATTTTTTTTTTCGAGACAGGGTTTCTCTGTAGCTTTGGAGCCTATCTTGGACTAGCTCTGTAGTCCAGGCTGGCCTCAAACTCACAGAGATCCACCTGCCTCTGCCTTCCGAGTGCTGGGATTACAGGCGTGCGCCACCACCACCCGGCTTAATTTATTTTTTAATTACACTCATGATATTCATTAAGTACACTCATGATATTAATTACATTTGTGGTATTCATTGATTACATTTGCAGTATTCATTCCATAATTATATTTATGATACTCATTAATTATATTAATTGTATTGATTTATTACATTCATGATATTATGTCCTGATACTACTGTCCATTTGTGGGGTTTTTCCATCACATAAAACAGAGATTCTGTACTTAGGAAATCATTGCTCTATATTCCTTTCTTCTCTATCTTGAGATAACATCTGATCTTCCTGTCTCTATGAATTTGTATTGAACCCCACTTTGTGAGAGACAAATCTGAGCATGGCAGCCTCATTCTGCAGACCTTTCATGCCTAGAGGCCTCAAGGAGGAGACCTAAGTGGACCACAAACACCCTCTCAAAAGCTGTCCCCAGCTTTCTGCCTCCGAACTGCAAATGTAACTGCTGGCCCCTGCTTCGCTGTCTCCCACCGTGTTTCAAACCTGGGCCTGTCACACGCCTCTCCTCTCTGCGGCAGTGCCCTATCTAGCACCGTTAAACCTGTGGTTCTTTCTTAAGCATTGCATCTTCTCTGAAGCATTTCTGCTGCATGCCAGTCAGGCCTCCAGCCACTCCCCACTTGGCTATTCATTCCCCCTGCTTGGTACTGGAATTAGTTACTCAGCATCTTGCCTCTCTTGATCCCTGACCCCGACAGAAACTTTATCTTATGCTCATATAATCTTAGGGCACAGAGTAGATTTTTGAGAAGTGATGGATGGATGGATGGATGGATGGATGGAAGCTTACAGATCTGAGCTTTGCAGACCAAGGCATGAAGTCTGACTTACTAGGTAATAGGGTCAAGCATGCCTCTATGATGCTGTTCTTTTCCTGCCAAGTGGAGATACCACCACCTCCCCTGTATGGTTGTCTTAAGAATTACAGATAACGGAAGCCTTAACTTCTTCAGTCTATGGCTTAAAACTGGTAACGAACGGCAGCTACAATTCTTTTTTCTTATTTTATTGCCCTGAACTTGGGTAGTCACTGAACACATTACCACCTCCTCTCACACTTGAATGAGAGTGCAGGTGAGCTGAGCAGTTTCTTTGTAAACCCGAAGGGGCAGGCAGTGTTCCTGGAAGTCATCCGGTGTCAGCTGCTCTTGTAGAGCATGTGGCATGCTGAATAGAGAAAGCCCAGATTCTGTCCTTGTTCTTTGCTAGGCTTCTGTGGCATCAATTAGAGTTAAAAAAAAAAAAAAAAATGTACATAGGGTGGCGGTAGCGGCAGCGCATGCCTTTAATCCCAGCACTTGGGAGGCAGAGGCAGGCGGATCTCTGAGTTTAAGTCCAGCCTGGTCTATGGAGTGAGTTCCAGGACTGCCATGGTTACACAAAGAAACCCTGTCTTGAAAAACAAAAGCAAAAACAAACATAAAAACCAATATAAGCAAAAGTGAGGGGTCACTTATCACATAAGGTTCAACAATCGCCTTTCAAGGGAGTTTTCCAAAGACCAGCAAAGAGAGGTGTTCTGAGAGCTTGTATGTCTAAAGGCCAAAGAAGAAATGCTAGGTAGTCTCTAAGCACCTCCTGGAAGTTAGCCTATGTGTGCACTCCACAGTTTCAGAAATGCCAACAGAGGGCCTGAGAGATAGCTCAGTGGTTAAGAGTTCATACTGGTCTTAGAGAGGACAGTTTGGTTTTCAGCACTCACTTTGGGTGGCTCACATCTGCCATTAACCCCAGCTCCAAGGTATCCAACACCCTCTTCTGGTTTCTGAGGGTTCCTGCACTTACATGCCCCCCGCCCCCTCCCCCTGCCAAAAACAACAACAACAACACACACACAAATAGAAATAGGCTGGGAGGATTGCTCAGTGGTAAGATCACCTACTACTCTTCCAGAGGATTCAAATTTGGTTCCCTGCACCTATATCAAGTGACTTTTAACCACCTGATGTCCTCTTCTGTCCTTCCCACCTGCACATCAGTGGCAGACACCCACATGCACATACACAAAAATAAAAACAAAATAAATCTTAAAACCAAAGACCGACAAGCCAGTAGGGAAGCGAGGACACACATGCTCCTTGCTCCTCTTCATGATTCACTGGACTTGGGAAAAGAGGGCACCCATGCTTCCTTTGTACGTGGATGCACTGAACTCACGCTTGGCTCACCTCTGGCTTTGGGTGGGGTGATAGATACCACAACAGGGCTCCGAAAATCTAGGCTCCAGCCCTGGAATGACCCCTAACTAAGGTGGTTACACCAGCCAGTTCTCTGAGCCATGAAGAAATGAACTAACTATTCTCCAGAGGCTTCTAGATTTAGAGGATGCCACAGCGTGGATTTCTGGGCCCTAGTATTTCACCCCCCGTCAGCCTCCACTAGGCTTCCCCACATTACATCTCTGACTCATTGTCCCGAGTTCGGATCACAACCTACCAGTGGGATCGCAACATCCTCATATGGCAGCTTGTCTTCCCGCCAAGCATCATCAATCAAATCCAAGATCCTTCCATCTCGTTGTACCTCGCTGTCCATTCTCCTGCAGCTTTGGTCTCGTCAGTTCTGTAAGCCAAAGAGGTCATTGCTTCAGCACGAGGGTACCGTAATCCAGTGCCAGGATTCCCCATACTTTTAGCTTGAAACTGGTTTTGTTGTTGTTTTGTTTCTTAACACCACCCCAGGAAAGAAACATAATCTTATGTGGGTCAGGTGACAACATAAAAGACCATAGTTCTTTTCTCACTTCAGCTGACAGGTGCTCGATGGTGCAGAGACACAGTCTAGTTGACGGACAAGTTCCTAGTGTAACAGCAACACGTTTCTGAACAAAGCCCTGGAAGGCACTGTATCTAAATGTAGCTTTCTTTACAATCATATACAACCTTTCCTTGTTTGTAATGCCTTTGCTGAGTCTCATCTCCGGCTCCTTAAGCCCTCTCCCATTACTTGGCACAAATTTCCAACCACCTTGGCTCAAACCTCGGCGCTCTTAAGGCACAGGAGCTCAGGGAACACGCAGGGTGACACTGAGCTGGAATGTGTAAAGTAACGGACCACAGACCAGCTGCTAATCTTTTAAAGCAGGGACAATGTGGGCAGCTGGGCTTACCCGGAAACCACTTCCTTTCTTAAACAGCATCCATCTCAGTGAGTTCAAGGCCAGCCTGATCAACAAAACAAGTTCCAGGACAGCCAGGACTGTTACACAGAGAAACCCTGTCTCGAAAAAACAAAAAAAGCATCCAGACTGAGCTCTGAAAGCAGCATGCCATGATCAGCAGTGGCAGTTCTGAGTTCTGTGTCCCTCTGGGCCACCTCTTCCTTGTCCTCCCTCCCTCTCCCTTGCTTTTGTATACTCTCTGTGTAGTCCTGGCTGTCCTGGAACTCACTCTAGACCAGGCTGGCCTCGAACTCATAGAGTCTGCTTCTGCCTCCCGAGTGCTGGGATTAAATGCGTGTATCACCATGACTGGGCCCTCCTTTTTTTTTTTTTTTTTTTTTGAGACAGAGTTTCAAATTCTCTCTGTAGCCAAAAGCAGCCTTAAGCTCCTAATCCTCCTGCCTCCACCAAAGGGACTATAGGCGTGTGCTATATCTGCTTTGTGAGGTACTGGGAATTGAACCCTTGTGTATACTAGGTAAGCACCCTATCAACTGACCTACATGCCCAGCTGAGGGGGACCCTGCAGGTGTCCAGGCAGGGAAGCAAACTGTAAGAGGTAAGAATGAAAACGCAGTTCAGACTCACTTCATCAACCTGAATCAGACTTGGGGAGTCTGATGCCAGGTGGTTTACTCCCAGCACATTTAAACAGCATAATCTGGAAACAAGTTCCCTGATATAAAACAATCCCCAGTGCACAAGGAAGCGTAATCACAGCACGACTTGACTCAGGGTACATGTCATTTCTTCCAAGAAGATGGGTTCTAGAGATAGGCTACTTGTACTAGCTTAAGGGCCTAAGGAAGGGTCTGGCCAGGTCTTGTCATACAGCTAGCATGGAGGTCATTTGGGCTATTAGCCACCTCTGGTCCTGGTTGTGGGAGCTTGGGGGAGCCTCTGGCTATACAGATAATGTAAGAGTCATTTAGACTAGTAGGTATCCTCCATCCTGGTTGTGGGAGCTTGGGGAGTCCCTGGCTGTACGGGTCATTTAGATTACTAGCCACTTCAGGTACTGACTGTAGGAACTTGATATGACCTGGCCCAACAGATAACGCAAATCACCAGGCTATTAATCACTTCCAATTCCCTCTTCCTCCTAAAAAAAAAAAAAAATAATAATAATAATTACATTGATTTGTGTATGTTCATGTGGAATTCAAAGGACATCTTGGGGCAGATGGTTCTCTTTTTCACTAGGTGGGTCCCACAGTTGAATTCAGTGCCAGGCTTGGCAGGGAGTGCCTTTATACCACTGAGCCATCTTGCTGGCCCTCTGCAGTACCTGGTTTAAGTGCTTGGGATGCTTGCTTAGCTCCCTGACTATAGATCATCCCTCATTTTCTTCCTGAAATAGCTGTAATCTAACTCACAAGACTGGTCATCACAGAGCACTTCTGGGTTTCCAGCTTCCAAGTTTGCTCCTTATCACAAACCCGCCCTACTGTGTTCCCTGCTACAAAGTGGCAACCCAAAGGCCTTGAAATTACTAGCACCAGTGGCTCTCTCAGGGACTCTTCCATTTCTGAGAGAAGAGAAACTCGTGTAAGAAACAACCCTTGGCATTGGAGTCTAACTTTGCCATACAGGTATGCGCTTGCCTCCCAACAGTATTAAAGGCAAGCTAGCACTGTCTATCTGGTTTGGGGGTAGGGAAGGGCTTTTACTTTAGAAAATTAGACAGAAGGGGCCTGGGAGACAACTCAGCAGGTGAAGTCTCTGCAAGCAAGAATACCCGAATTCAGATCACTGGCATCCACATAAGAAGTGGGGCACAGCCGGGCGGTGGTGGCGCACGCCTTTAATCCCAGCACTCGGGAGGCAGAGCCAGGCGGATCTCTGTGAGTTCGAGGCCAGCCTGGGCTACCAAGTGAGTCCCAGGAAAGGCGCAAAGCTACACAGAGAAACCCTGTCTCGAAAAACCAAAAAAAAAAAAAAAAAAAGAAGTGGGGCACAATGGCACACACTTGCCATCCCAGGGGTGGGAGGCAGAGACAGGAGGATCTCTGGGAGATTGCCAGGCTAGGCAGGCTAGTTGAATCAGAAAGCTCCAGGTTTAGTGAAAGATTCAAAGAGGAAGTGATGGAGGAAGACACTGATGTTGGCCTCTGGTCTCCATCCCCCCCCCCCCCCACTCCACCTCTAGGCACAAACCTCCACCACCATCGTTCCCTGTACATACACACACATTAAAGCAAAAGGTGGCCGGCTCCTACTGCCACCTGGGAACCAGGTGTCGGCTTAGCATTTTTACTCAGATTTAACTGCATCTAGCCAGTGGACAATGCAAAGCTAGCGGAGGGATCCCATCTGCAGAAATGTATAACTAGTCCTTCCTGTCAGTTCTAGTCACACTTGCAGAATCTGACAAGTTTTCCTACTTTCCTGTCACTCATTTGTTCTTGGAGCTGTGCCTTGGGCTACACCGTCACACTTCCTCTGCTGATTTTCCCAGGTCTTTACAGATTGCTCCTTTATTTTTTCCTGAAGTGTTCTGACTTCCCTCTAGCTTTAGTAGACTTTCTGTCCTCAAATGCTTGCTGCTTGCCTTAACTAACCTATGAAACAAGTTAGGTCAGCTTTATGACTGATTGGCAGGGTACTTTTGTCACCAGTGGTAAAGTATAAAAGCCGTACCAATGATTCCCAATCTTTCCACAAGTTGGCCTCAATATTTTGTAACATGTCCCTCTTCTTCACGCTTGCAACTTGGCAAGCCTTTCATCCACCTCCTGCATTTCTTGCTCAGAATGCCTGGCCGTCCTTCCAAACACAACACGGATGACAAATCTTTGGGGAAGGCACTCGGGTTCTCCCCCTTTACACGAACAAAGAAGGAAGCATAGGTAATGCCCAGACAACGGCCACCGTCCCAAGCCCTTATCGCATAGCAGAACCTCTCCGGGTTTCTTAAACATTTTTTACACACGTACTCTTCTCTTTCTAGCGCCCCCACCCCACCCCAAGTCCCCTAGATCTCTGGGCACAATGCGTGACAACAGGGGAGCCTCTCACACTGTTCTAGACATCTCTTTCCAGATAGTAGACGAGCACGTTTTATGCATTTTCGAAATCAATAGCTTTGTAAATCTATTTCTAAGCTAAAAGCACGGCCCCCCTATACTAAAATTGGTCCTCGAGGGCCACCATCCTAGATCACTAGACGCAGAGTCGCCCGGGGCGCCGCTTCCGGCCCGAAGGCTGGCGCTACCGTATGCGGAAGTGCAAAGGGGAGGTGGAGCGTCGCCATGCGGGCTCCCTTGCACTCCGCGCGGCGTGCCATAAGGAAGTGGCTCTGAAGGCCGGTTGAGAGCACCTGCCTGCGCCTCTGGAAGCACTGGACGCCTGAAGCCTAGGGCGAACGCTTGGCCACCCTCCGAAACCTGGGCCGTTGGCGCGAAAAAAAATCCCTTACCCACCGAGCGCGCATCGGCTTCCTCCCGGGCCCGCCCTCCTGCGGGGTCACGTGACGCGTGGCGCTCTTATACCCCGTATGTGGGTGAGTCCCTTCGCGGCTGTGGGAGGCGGGACGAACGTCAATTTGTTGTGACGCGTGCGCGCTCCCGAGGAACGGCGAGCAAGCCTGGGGGCGCGCTCGGCCGGGGACGCGCTCTGTAACCGCCTGCGTCCCCCAAAGACGGGCGAGCCGCGGCTTGTTGTGGGGTAGACGCGGCCCTGGCCACCGTGGTGCCGCTAGCCTGCAGGCCGCATGGCCCGCGGCCGCTGCCCATCGCTGTCCATCGCTGCCCGCCTGCAGCCAGGCCCTCTACTGCCCGCCCGCGGCTGCCCCGGCGCAGCACCCCGGGGTCTCTCCGACTGCTCCATGTGCGGTTCCGTGCTGGCCGGCAAGGTGCTGCGGCCTCGGCGGAGGCGTGCGGGAGGGCGGCAGGCTGCCGGCTGCTGCAGCCGCTGGCGGAGGACCAGGCTTTAGGGTTAGCAGCTCAGCGGGAAGCCTATGGGCTTCCCTGGTAATGTTAGTATGAGAGGTGCCAAAACGTGGCGGGAACCCTGATGCAGAGGATTTGCAGATGGCCTCGTGCCTTCAAGTCAAGCATCGGAAGGAAACAAGATTGGTAGAGTGAAAGTTTTGAAAGGGCAGTTTTATAATGCTTTAATCACGGAGACACTTGACAGTGAATCTGGACTGCAATAGGGCTTTCGTGGAGTTAGAGCAAACTGTTGTTTCATTTAAAGACGGTACACTTACTTGCCCAAAGTATACCCTACCCGCCCAGCGCCTGCTCTCCATCAAAACAGGGTCTTAGGAAGCCCTGACTCTGCACGCCTTTAATCCCAGCACTTGGGAGGCAGAGATAGGTGGATCTCTTGAGTTCCAGGACAGCCTGGTCTACAAAGCGAATTCCAGGACAGCCAGGGCTGTAACATGTTACACTGAGAAGCCCTGTCTCGGAAAAACAAACATCCACTCCTCCTCCACTTCCCCAAAGAAGCCCTAACTGGTTAAGAACTCACTATGTGTAGATAGGCTGGCCTCAAACTCTAGGCCTGTAATCTGGGCGGTGGTGGCGCACACCTTTAATCCCAGCACTTGGCAGGCAGAGGCAGGTGGATCTCTGTGAGTTCGAGGCCAGCATGGTTTCAGGCCAGCCAAGCCTACACAGAAAAACCCTGTCTCGAAAAACAACACAAGTTTTACGGTATAGATATTGTTAATTATGCCAATGTTGCTTCCTCCTGTGGAGTTGTAGAGGACCTTTACTTAGCCTATCTTCCTGCCCTCAAGTACTGTATAGGAGCTGACGGTGACAGCATTAGTCCCCATCCCCGTACTGTCATAGCTAATATGTTCCCCACCCCCCTCACTGTCATAGCTAAGGTGCTTCCCATGCCAAGGGCTAGATTTGCTTTTACAAAACCACAGTACTATTTTTATATCAGTACAAATTTATAAAAAACACACAGTGTCAATATCCAGTGGGATCAGGTTTCTTCAACTACCCCATATGTCCTTGCAATACCTTGTTTGGACCAAAATTCTGCAGAGAACTGTCTGCTGCATATGGTTGCTAGGCATTTAAATCCTCTAATCAACTGTTTTTAACTCCCTTTTCTCTTTACCATTTAAAATTTAGCTGGTTGTGTGTATTTTTGAATACGTGCCTCTACTTCCTCTATGGCCTCCCCTCCACTGGCCAAGTCTTTAATTACACTGCCCAGTGTGGTAGTCATCGGATAGCCATGCTATTTTAAATGAAATAAAAGTTTGGTTCCCCAGTTGAATTAGCCACATTTGAAATGCCCAGCAGTCACAGGTTGCCTAGTGGATACTGTTTGAGTAATGCAGATAAAAAAGTTTCTATAATTACAGAAAGTTCTGTTGAAATACAATGATCAGAAGTGTTAGATTCAATCTTTTTTTTTTTTTTTTTTGATGGGAGGTGCAGGAAAAATGCCATAGGTGTAGGCTTTATATTCTGAAAATTATCTGTTGCGTTCATTATCAGGGAGACATGTAATGTCTGAGTCATCTCATTTGGGATGTTACAGTTGAGCTGTGTAGTGGTTCCTGCTCTGTCAGCTCAGTTGACCACCATGAAATTGCTCACGGGTCTTTTAGTTACTAGGAGATCTTTCCTGGCTAACAGTGCCTGGGTCTCTTACTGCATGACAGCCACAGCAGGGTGCTTTCTGGTGTTGCCATGTCTTAAGTGCTTGCTTAGCTGGCACTCTTACGAAGAATTTGCCTTCCACCACTGACTACCCGAAATACAGTTGGTATAGGAATGGCAAGAAAAATGCTTAACTCTGTTCCTTTCTTTTCAGACGACAGCAATGAATTGGTGGCCTAGCAACCTCCAAAGGTAACCTGAAGGCTTTAGCTTTAAAACCAACAGATAGACTTTAATATGTTTAAAGCTGTGGCCAAGCAACCTCCAGAGATAACCTGAGGGCATTACCTTTAAAAACAAACCAAGAAACTTTAATGGGTTTAAATTGTTTGAAGATATTCCAATTTTTTGATACCCTAAATTGTTTTGTTTTTAGCCCACTGGAACCCTTCAAGACCCATAGTTTTGATAGCTTCCTCTTAGTTTTGCTTTAGCTGGATTTTATGTAGTCCAGGCTGGCCTTGAACTTGCTCTGTAGCCAAGGATGATCTTGAACTTATGATCCTCCTGCTTCTACCTCCCAAGTGCTAGGATTACAGGTGTGAGCCACCATGTCCAGCTCAGTACTGCTTCGTTTTCTTTTTTTGTGTTAGTTATCAAACATCATCACAGTCCCTATAAAACACACAAACCCAGACTTAGCTGAGGCAGGTTACCTTTAGAGGTATAGTGTTTCTCACTTTGTTCTTCAGAAAACAAGCACCCCAAGGCAAACACACTTCCTTCTTTTTACTGTTTTGTATCTTGCTGTTTTTACCTTATAACAGAGCCCTCCATAAAGGATGCAGTGACTGTTACCTCTTTTTATAGCTTCATAGTATTCCCTCAGTGAATGGATATGTAGTGAGTTTCCTACTTTATAAATAATGCTGCAGGGAATGCCCTTTATATATCTCATTTTGTATTTTTCCAGTGTGCCAGACTGAGCATCTTTTCATTAAACTAAGGACATTTGCATTTCCTTTTCTGTTCTGATTGTTCCCATCTTCTACACATTTTCCTATAGCTTTTTTTTTGCTTTTTGTAAGTTATTTATATGTTTAGTAATTACCTTTTGTGATAAAACTATTTCTTTCTTTTTTGTTTTGTTTTGTTTCTTCGTGTATCCTTGGCTGTTGTGGAACTCCATCTGTAGACCAGGCTGGCCTTGAACTCAGAAATCCTCCTGCCTCTGTTGTGGCATTTTTCCATTTAAAAGTTTAAGTAGTCATATTTCTTAGTCTTTGTAATTTTACTTTCTGATTTTTTTTTTTTTTTTTGGTTTTTTCGAGACAGGGTTTCTCTGTGTAGCTTTGCGCCTTTCCTGGAACTCACTTGGTAGTCCAGCCTGGCCTCGAACTCACAGAGATCCGCCTGGCTCTGCCTCCCGAGTGCTGGGATTAAAGGCGTGCGCCACCACCACCCGGCTACTTTCTGATTTTGGTCACAGTTTGGACAGCCTTTTAAAACTTTCATCTTTATTTTGAAAAATTTCTCTAGTTTACAACCCCCCAACCTTTAAAGGGTGTTTTTTTGTTTGTTTTTTGTTTTTTGGTAAACAAGGAACAGTCGATAGGGATCCCAAGGCAGGCAGAGTGACTGCACACCTTCTTCTCCTTTAAGGTGCTCCTTCTCTGAGCATCACACATTTACACGTTTACTCATAGTTTTTTTCTTTCTGTGTTCCATTTTATAGTGTGATCTTTGGTGTATATGTTGGATATTTCCCATTAACCTGTAAAGAGAAAAAGTTAAACTAGAGGCCTATGGTGCCTTCTGTCCCTTAAGTCCCAATATGCTAATGAATTTAAAAGATTTGGCATGATCAGGCCTCCTATTTCTGTTCTTCCCCCCTCAACACTTAAAGCGTGTGTTTCCTGCTCCCTGGACTTGATAAAAACCTGCATCCCCTTTAATCATTCAGGTCCAGATTTGAGTGACTGAAAACAGCCTTTGAAGAGACACTAGCCCACTGGAGCATGTGGCTCTGGCAGGCCTTGCCCTTCTCTCTCATTCTCTCTGCCTTGCTAAAAACCATTAAGATTATATTTCTAAAGACAGCAAGGTCTGTTCCCTCTTTTGGCCACTTCCTCCTCTTGAGACTGACTACTAAGGTCCAGCTGTCAAAGTATTGAAGTCCAGCAATCAAAAGCCCCCTATGGCTCACCTAATTAATATGCCCAATTAAAATTAAACACCTCATCCTA